CAAAGTTTAGTATTGTGTTATTGAATTTTTTTAAAATAAATAGTTCTTTCAGTATTTTTATTTTTGTAAAAAATCAGAATGAATAATGATAAAAAAATCGGGAAATCAAGTAAATTGTTATGAAAAGAACTAGAAAAAAAATAGTAGATAGTTCTCATAAAAGAAAGCTCAAAAATCAACAAGAGAGAATCTATTAAAATAATAAAAATAATTAAAAAAAAACTATCAAATACAACAAAAAAATGACAAAAAAAAAAATGTTCTAAAAAAAAAACAAAAGCTGAAAAGGAATATTGAGATGATCTAAAAATTATATTATAATATGCAAGCTGTAATTATCCTTATAATTGCTGTCAGTGCTTTTGCTGCACCAAAATGTGCACAAACTAATGTTGCTAATGTTGTTAGTGATTTAAACCCAAAGCAACCAGTGGGAACAAATGCCCTTGCTATCGAAATGTATAAAAAAGCATTATTAAGTGAAGAAGTTAAAATCCCAACAGAAAATAGAACTGAAGCTATTAGAGATAGATTAAACAGAATTAATAATTCCACTTCAGTTAATAAGACTCAAGAAGTTAATGAACAAATAGAGAAGATTAATGTTAGTATTAAAACTATTGAAGAAGAAAGTGCTAAAGTTAATGCATCAATTATTGAGTCATATAAGAAAATTAATGAAACACAAAAAACTGAAAAGATGGAATTAAAAGCTAAAATGGAAGAAATTGCAAAAGAAAAAGCTCTTATTGATTCATTAAATAAGAAGAAAGAAGAGTTAAGAAAGAAGAGTATTGAATATTATAGACTTAAAATTACTGCAGAAAAGATTGTAGAAGCACAAGCAGAACAAATGAGAAATAGAAGAAGATTTATTAGAGATTTAGAAGAGTCTAAAAAAAGAGTTGATGAAACAAATGAAGCACTTGAGAAGGTAAAACAAGCAGAACATAATAAAAGAATTGAAGCAATTAAAAAAACAAAGGAATATTTAAATAATTTAAGAGGACAAGATGCTGCACAAGAAATGAAAGAAAGAGAAGAGAAATTAAGAAAAGATAGAGTTGCTGAAGTTATTAGAAGAAAGATGTTAATATTACAAGAACAAATTAAAACTGCTAAAATTCAAAATAATGAAGAACAAAGAATTCAATTAGAAAAACAATTAC